CCTTATTCTCCTCATCAAAATGGTATAGCTGAGCGCTATTGGCGTTCAGTTTTTGACAATGCACGGGCTTTTTTTATCGTCAAAGTTACCAGAATCTTTTTGGGTAAGGGTACTGTAGTATACACAAGAAATCGTGTACTAACATCTGCTATTAATGATGATGAAACACCCTACGAACGTTTTTTGGAAAGCAACCCAGTGTTCATCATTTAAGAGTTGCTTATGTATATCAAAAATTGAAACCCACGAATGCAAGTTATTACCCAAATGCAAAAAGGCAGTTTTTACTGGTCATGACGGTTCAAGTCCTGCATATTATTTATTTGATTTTGTTAAAAAGAAATTTTATCGGTCTCGTAATGTGACATTTTTTGAAAAACAATTCCCAGGTCTCGATAACGGATCAAGGCCTGCTATTGTTTTGCTTTTTCCGGGGGGCAATGATTCAGTGGGGGCTGTCACAGATTCAGTGGGGGTCAAAAATGCACAAACAAATGCAACTGATGCAAATGAAGTTTTGCCTACACTTGAACAGCCGTTATCACCGACACGGGTAGCTACTTCTACAACTATTGATACTTCTCAAAATGTATCTTCAGCACCTAGTCCTCATAATGTGCAAATGGAGATTCAAGATACTCCAATTTACTTAGATACCCGTGAAAATTACACAACTCGCGATGATTTTGATATATCTGATGCCATTGAGTCTTCTCCTCAAACTCCAACTGCAGACAATCTGCAAAATATTACTTCTCCCACTCCTGACAGTTCGATAAAGTTTTTACCAAAACGGTCCACATCATCCAAATCAAGAGAGCAATCTGGGAGTGATGAAGAACATTCTACTGCTTTGGGAATTGACATTCCTACAACTAATAGGACTGGTCGGATGTTTCGAAGACCTGCATGGCACTACGATTGTGATTTTTCTACTGATGAAAACTGTAATTTTGCAATGGCTGCTAGCGTCAATGGTAAAGTTCCACTTAATTATGAGGAAGCAATTTTGTCACCTGATGCTGAAAAATGGCAAACTGCAATGCAAAATGAATTCAAAAGTCTTGTAGAAAAAAAAACATGGGATCTTGTGGCTTTACCTTCTGGAAAACCATTAACGAATGGGTTTAGCAAATGGGTTTTTGATATAAAGCGTAAAAGCGATGGTTCAATTGAACGATATAGCGCACGTTATGTGGCTAAGGGATTTAGTCAAATTTATGGACAAAATTATACTGATACTTTTTCACCTACTATTTTGAGTCTGGTGAACATGATGTATGCAAGCTCAATAAATGCATTTACGGTTTAAAACGAGCAGGAAGAGCTTGGAATCAGTTTCTAACAAAATTTTTATTGGAACTTGGTTACCTAAGAAGCTCTGTAGACACCTGTTTATTTTATCAACCTAAGAAAATGAATTTCATTGCTGTGCATGTTGATGACATGATAATTTTTGATGTTGACGAAACTTCAGTGCAAGAGCTGATTGCCGATCTTGGTAAGTGGATTCGTATTGAAGATAAAGGCGTTCTCAAATGGTTCTTGGGAATAAAATTGAAGTTAATGAAAAACGTATAATACTTTCTGGCAAGCAGCAAAAAAGTACTACGCTATTTACAGGGCACGAATTATTTCTCTTCTTATTCACGACATGATAATGGTCTAGGTGTTTTTGCGTAAAATGATGCCGATTGGGCAAGCGGCGTAAAGACCAGAAAATATGTATCTGGCATAGTTATTGAAAGATACGTCAAAAATTTAATCGAAAAATAGAATATGCAAAATTGCAAACCATTTTATGAACCTGTGGTTACATCTAAAAATGAAACTGATGATAAAAGTCTAACAGATCGTTCCCTTTTCCAGCAGTTTCTGGGGGCGTTATTGTATTTAGCTGTAACAATTAGGCCGGATATTGCTTTTGCAGTAAACTTACTCTGTCAAGCGTGCAAAAGTTCAACAGTGCAAACTTTTATTGCAGCAAAAAGAATATTACGTTATTTGAAGGGCACGCAATGTAAAGACCAGTAAATCTGTATCTGGCATGGTTATTAAATTAATTGAGTCAGACTTACCGGTATTTTGGCGGTATTTTGGCAAGGTTCGGTATCATTATCTACAAGTGAACCGGAATATATGGCTCTATCTGACTTGGCTCAGGAAGTTTTGTTCGTGAAACATGTATTTGAGAGTGTTAACTATAAAACTACTCTCACTATTTTTTAGTGACAATCAAGGAGCAATCTGTGTAGCTCATGAAACAGCTTCAAGATCGAGAGCCAAACATATCGACATTGAATTACACTTTGTTCGAGAACAAGTTCGCTCTGGTAAGATGACATTAAAATATCTTCCTACTACAGTTCTGGTTGCGGATGTCCTGACAAAAGGACTTCCACGTGTTCCTTTGGCGCAGATATGCAAGCTACTCTTTGGAAATGCCTTTTGAGGGGGAGTGTTGAAATACTCATCTGTGATTGGTCAATTTTCAGACATGGTTGTGTAGAACCAAAAGACTCTAAACGAAACTGTAACTGCTATATTCGAGAAACGAGTGAAATAATATTGACTTATGACTTTTAACTTCTTAAATGAAATCAAAAATAATGCGGGTAAAACAAAGGTCATCGACATTAAAGTCCCCGGGGAGGCTTTTATTAATCGTAAAGTCCCCGGGGATGCCCTTTGTGAGATCGAAGCTGTGTCAAAAGCCTATACTAAAAGGGCGAAACAAATACCATCTGACAAAGGCGTTGAGAAGGCCCAAAAGTATCTGAAGAGTAATGGATTAGTTGCGGTACCGTATGACAAAGGCGTGGGTTTTTGTGTAATGAGAAAGGACACCTACGAGAACAAGTTGTCGGATACATTAGATTCAAATCAATTCAGCAAAAGTAAAGAAACAAAGGATGCGATTGTTTTGAAGATAAAAAAAAGCATCAATAAGGATTTTTTCGCTATGAAGAAAAAAGACGAAATAAGTGAGAATCTCTACTCAAAGATGAGGTCTACTGGGGGCAGCCTGCCAGGCTTTATGGGTTTGCGAAAGTGCATAAAGTGGTTACTCAATTAAGACCGGTCCTCTACTTGCCTGGTAGCTCTTATTATAAATGAAACAAGGTTTGCAAAAGTTTTCGATAAAATTGAGGGCGCAAACATCGAAACCAACTCATTAAATGCGAGAGAAGTCTTGGAGAGCACTAATCTTGAGCCCAATGAAAATTTTATATGTCTAGATGTGAAGAGTTTGTATACCAATAGTCCACTGAAAGGAGCAATAGACATAGCTCTGAAAAAACTGTATGAGCAAGAAGAACCACCATCAATTGCTAGGAAAACCATGAAGAGACTGTTGAACATGGCAGTCAGTCAAGTCCATTTCAAGTGCAAGAAAACATGGTACGTTCAGAAAGATGGTTTGGCAATGGGGGCATCTCTTGCCGTTATTTTGTCAAATTTTTGGCTGAAGCAGTACGAAACTGCACTATCGAGGGGTTTTCCCGAAATGTTTTTGCCGAGAAAGATCTTAACGGAATATGTCCCGAGTGCAATAAGAAAGTCACGTACAGGTCAAAAGGTGTAGAATATGAATGCTGTTTGAACTGGTATCACGTAAAATGCGGTGATATATCAGATGATGAGTATCGAAATATAAGTGAAACCGTCTGATTCTGCAGAAAATGCATCGCAATAAGAGAGAAAAATATGTCGGTGCATCAAGCTAAGTTATTCCTCCGTTACGTTGACGATATAGTAAGAACAGTGAAGGGTGATCCTGAAAAAGTGCTACGTGCTGCAAACATCCAAATTTACAGTTCACAATAGAGACACCAAACACAAACGGAAAATTGGCATTTTTGGGTGTACAAATTAGTATTGATAAAAGCAGGAAAATTAACTGTGGGTGGTATCAAAAACCAACAGATACACGTACCATACTAAATTTTACAGGCTGCGCCCCTTCGAAACAAGAGAAGTGTGGTTGAAGGAACTGTTCACCGGGTTTTCCGCAGTACATCAACATGGGAAGAATATGATAAAGTATGAAAATCAACCGTGAGCAGTGGTTGGATAACCAATATCCGGAAAATTGGTCGTCGCGGGTTGCATCCAATGCCCTTGAAAAGATCATCAGGGAGGGCAAAAACAAAAAGAACATGGCTGAGAAAAAGAAGCCCTGTGATTATAGCAAAGATTCACCACCCATCTTGATGTCCAATATAGGGGGAATCACAGTCGGACATCAGCAAAAAAAGTGCGCCATACCACCAATGCGCTGATAGTATTCACGACGAGGAAAATGAAAACTTGTATGCCCTCTCTAAAATCCTCCTTTTCCAGTGAACTGAAATCAGAAATGGTGTGCAGACTTGAATGTTGTGGTTGCAAATCCATCTATAATGGTCAGACGATCCGACATCTGACCACAACGATTGAGGAACAGCGAAAAAACGATACCCCAGTTGGACAGCATATAAGGCAGTGTGATAGTGAGAGTGGTAAGTCTGAGTTTAAATGGAAATTAATCGAGCAGGCGTCCAGCAGCATCAAGTTACTTACATTAGAGGCGCTGCACATTAGGAAAAAGAGACCGACAATTAACACGAGTTCAGAAATAGGGAGCTGACACTAAGGCTATAGTTCCAGAATCAAAAATTCTGGCTAAAACAAAAAATTTTGAAATAATTCACATGTTAGCATAAAAATTAGTGACAAAACGAAACTGTAAGATTAAAAAAGGTGAAAACTCTCAAAAAACTTGTGACAAAATGTTTAAAATTGTTACATAATAGTTGTTGCATAGTTTCAGTAACATTTGTAAAATTTTGATTAGTTGAATTTTTAAAATTTGAAATAATGATGTGTTTGACACTTTTTATGATCTTTGATCATTTTGTACAGATGGTTTAGAATTTTTAAAACCTGAAATTGCACAAAAAAAGGCGAAAACTGTTTTTTTTTTTGAATTTACAATTTTAACGCATTCTCAAAACAATTTTATTTTAAACATAGAGACGGACTATTATAAGAGGCTGTTGGTAAGCAGTTCTTGTAGGATGTTACGGTAGTAGACTCCTTAGCTCCTTGTAGGATTAATGCCGGGTCTGTTTGTAACCCTGGTACGGCTGCCGCTGAAGCGGAGGAGCGAAAAAATGACAAAATCAAAGATCTTGTAGATGATGGATAACTTTTGAGATTCAGGGCCAGGGAGTTCAATTCCGGTTCTATTTCCGGGGGGTCAATTCCAATTCCTTGTAATTCAATTCCAATTCCTGGAGAGACTAAAATTCAATTCCAATTCCTGGCTACTTTCCGTTGCCACAATATCACCTAGGTTGCAAACTCTGCAAACTCAAGTTGGATTTCAGATACCAAGCATATTGAAATAGTACGATTGATCATGTAATTTAAGTTTGTTTTCAAGCATTTTTACGTTTATTAAGATTAAGACCGAGCCATTTTTCAAGATATCAGTTTTATTTGACAATTTTTGACGTCAATTCCATGTCAATTCCAGCCAAAAATTCAATTCCCATTCCCGAAACTGGAATTGACCCCAATTCCCAATTCCTGTCAATTCTCAATTCCAACAAAAGTCAAGTACTTGAATTCCCTGTTCAGGGCGCGGCCGGCCCCAGCGCAGAAATTTTTTTGAGCAAGCTTTGTAAGAACCTAAGCATATACACTGAGGAACACAGAGCAGGCAGCTTTTTTTTAAACGGTCTCCCTGGCAATACAGACTGCGAACGCTGCTTGCGTACTCGGAACAAAAAATGACAAAATAACTGACGAAATTTTTTAGTTGTAACACTTGTTTATTATATTTTCTCGTGTCGAGTTGCGTGTTCTAATTGAAGAAACGTAACCCGTATCGATTTTAATTGAAAAGGACTTCAACACTTGTCATCTCCTTTTATCATTATCACTTCCATATCTAGAAAATTCCAAGGATTTTGACTAAAATACGTAATGAAGGGACTCCTGACTGTAACCTCGGTTACTATGACACTTTTGACCTTCTGATTATCCTTTTAAAAAGAGGAGAAGAGAAAAAAACATCAACACTAATCATCTCCCTTTTATAATTATCATTACCAAAAAACTAAATTACAAAAGGGGCCCTTCCGTTTAGTTACGGCAAGTGCACAAGCTGGATAGGGCCATACCAGCGGTATCAAAATGCATATATATCAGCAATGAAGTCATAAATCAGCATTAAATGCATCGTCATAATGTTAATTTATCTTAGCCGTCCTTCCTCTACAATAGCGCTTATGGAGTTGTCGATAAATTGAACTTTGCGTAGCGATCTGCACCCCCTTATACAAAGTATAGAGCTCCTCAGGAGCGCGAAGCTTATTTTAGTTCTTAAATACTTGATTACCATATCTTGAAAATTCCAAAGATTTTGACTGGAATATGTGATGAAGGGACTCCTGACTGTAACCTTGGTTACTATGATACTTTTGACCTTCTGATTGCCTTAAAAAACGTAATCGATCTTAACGAAAATCTAATTAATCTATAACATTCATCTTTTGATCATTTGAGTTGCTCAAGGTCACCCATATTGTTTTAATTTTTTTTGACCTACTGATGATGTTCAAAGAACTGTTTTCGGTGGATGTCTGTCAATACAAGTTACGCTGAAATTAAACCATCCGGAAAGCATCTGATTGAGCGGAAGCTACGTAAAACCTATTTCAAGTTAGAAGAGCCTAATTTGAAATATCAACCCATTGTGTATGAAACGGAATCATGGCCCAGAATTGATCTCAATACACCCCGAGGATATTGTCCGTTTATCTGTTCCCGCGAGGAGCACCTAGAACGACAAAAGTTAAATAGAGAACCTGGCAAGGGATTGCCGGGTACTTACATACAGAAAGATAGAGAGCTTATCAAACGAATCATTACTTTTTGTGAGTGTTGCTCAGTTTCACTTAACAACCTGGCTAACCATCTTGAGTCTGAAAGTCATAAGGATTTCGTATCCAATGAGAAGTACTTTCTCCTAATTGATAGCCTTTTGAAGGAAATAAACAATACCGGACATTTTTTCCTCTGTGTTTTTTTTGACCAAGAGTTTGCATTCGAGAGAAGTCTCCTCAATCATGAAGGATCAGTTGAAAACACGGATCAAGCAGAAAACAAAGAAAACTGTTCTTCCGAGCCGATTCCTCAAGAAGGACTGGATTGTTTGAGTAAAGGTGACAAAAGCACTTGCAATATAGGGCAAACAGATTGCAGAGAAAAGGACAGTTTCAAGCAAATTGGTAATTCTGGTATTCGGGCAAAAGAAACTTATCAGATAGACTCAAAATTCTCAAAACCGAAAACGCCGGCAATTGAGAAAGTTTTGAGCTCTGCTTTTTCTCTTCAAAACTTCAATATTTCGGTTTCCCCCGGGTCTATGATTATTACACTGGGAAGAAACAACCCGAGTTCTACTGGAATTTGCAATGATATAAGGTCGAATACTTGTGATCTGAGAAAGCGAAAAAAACGACTTTTCAGTCCAATCAAGGGTGATCAGATTGTAGACAGATCGAGCATCATCCAAGATGTAAAGAGCTTACGATTAATTCGGAGCGGTTTTGCCGATTGGGGAACGAACAAAAAGACGCGCAGGATTTGTCATTCGACATCTGTCAAGAAGCATCAAACAAATATAAATAATTCAATTACGCAAAATTTCCATACTTTTCTGAAAGGTCCCGCTGACGATTATCTCGTTGTGAAGTCCGATGACACTACTCCTGAAATAAGTGAGGAATCTTTCACAGACAGCTCGGAAAACTTTCTACGTGATCGAGGTCTCGTGGGTTGTAGCGAATACGATTCTGAGTGCGCTTTTTCGCCACAAATTGGGACAAAACAGAGTAAAAGAAACAGCAACAGTGTCTTCAATTTCGACCAATATGATACTCAGAAGGAAACAGAAGAAGGGCAATTCGAAGAGGCAAGCAATGGTAATTTTTGAAGCTGAGGCTATTAGGCATTTGATTACCGTTCAAACCAAATAATAGATAAATTTGTTTCAAAGCTCAGGTTTATGTTCCACATCTCTCAGCTGAAAATTTCACCTCAAATCACATAAATAAGCTAGAGAAATTAGGCGATAGCCATTATTTCAGTCACTATATAGAAACGAACGTATAATCGTTTCTAGTTAACACGGTGTATTTGATCTTTTTCTTGCTTTAAACGTTGATTTGATTATAAATTAGTTGGTTGCACGTGTTTGGTATTTCAGTTGTTCATTTTTCCAATTTTATGTTTGCTGAGTTCAGGTTTTCAATTTCTTTCTCGGAGTTTTCCTGATTGCATATGAAAAATTGAAGTCTTCTAAGATGGTTGTCAATTGTCAAATTGGCGTATAACACTCGACCTCATTTTGCAGTTGCAAAATACTTTCTTTACTTGTACTTTTCCTTTTAGCGTCTTTTTGTCCCTTCTTCTGAAGAGGTTAGACGGTTTATGACAGCTCTCCATTCAGCTCGGTCTTCAGCTGCAGTCTCGTGTAAACCAGCGGCTGCCATATCTTGCATGAGGCACTTTCCAGGTTTTCTTGGGTCTTCCTCTTGGTCTGCGACCTGGTGCCTCTGTGTGCATTATTTGCCTTAGCGGATTATCTTGATCTTGTCTTCTGTGGATGTTGCCAAACCAGGTCAATCTTCGCTTCCTTGTCACCATTAGAATATCCTCTAGACCACATCTTCTGAGGGTTTCTGAGCTTGGCATTCGGTCTGACAGCGACACATTGCAGATCATTCTGAGCATCCGGCGGTCACACTCTGTAATAACTGTTTTTTATGTGTGAGTGCCCACGTTGCAGCTCCATACAAGATGGTTGAGCGGATGCAGGTATTGTATGCCCTTGCCCGATGCGACCAGTTGCATTGGAGTTTTCATAGTTATCTATGTCTTTTCTGAATGTCATGTTTAATAGTTCAACACTCGTTATTGCAATTTATCGGCTTCGAAAAAAATATTTGGTCTGAATTAACACGTCTTTATTTGTTGCCAAATCAATCAACTTGGGCTGTTTCACCTGACTGAATGTTTGCAAAATTTCTATTATAAAAAACGGCAGTCAGAATACGCTGTGGATGCAGTGTTCAACTGAACACAATATTTTATTCTGCTTAGTGCAAAGTTTGATAAAAAACACTGAGCTGAGATTATCTTCCCTAACGCGAGGTGCTGTCAGGCTAGATACAGTGTTGGCAAACTGGCCATCAAAAATAACTCTCCAAGTTTTTGTGGTTTCCGAAAAATGGCGTTTTCATGAATTTTTGTTTTGGGGTTGCAAATCTGGCCTCCAAATTTTACTGCTCGAATCCTTTTGGTTTCAGAAACAGCATTTTTTGATCAAATAGTTTTAATATTAAAGAAAAATACTTACGATTTATGAACTTCTGTTTCTAAAAGTGGGGTGCTGTCATAGTAGATACAGGAGATGCAAATCTTGACTCCAAATTTTTTTTGCTCGAATTTTTGTGGTTTCATCACTTGCCTCTTTTCCTGATTTTTTATTCAATTTTGTACGAATAACGTTGATTTAAAGACAACATATTTTAAAAAAAACACGAAGTTTGAGGGTTGCAAATCTGGCCTAAATTTGTTTTTGCTTGAAAACTTTGCCTTTTGCAATATGGCGTTTTTTTCTTTTTTTTTTGTAAAACTTTGATTCAAAAAATACCATCAAAACATGAATCTAGGTTCCTTATAAAGGGTTGCTTTCAGGGTAGATACTGGATAGCAAGTCTGGCCTTCCAAGTATTACTGCTCGAATACTTTTTCTTTTCGAGATAAGGCGTTACTTTTTGATCTTATCAATTTTTGGAAAATTTCCAACCCCACTTTATAGTGCTGTCAGGGTACTCCGAGGGATTGCGAAATTGGCTCTCTCTGTTGTTTTCTTTATTAGTTTCCGATAAATGACTATTTGAATTTTAATTTTTTGCCCTAATTCTCAGTAATTTAAAGATTTTCTTCAAAACAACCGCTGTATGCTTTATCTTTATGGTGAAACTCATCAATTGGCCTTACTGGTGAATCTATAAAACGTTGCAAAAACGAATTTGAAAAGTCCTATAGATGAAAAAGTCCTATAGTTGGAGTAAAACCTAACGCTCACCTTATTCAAATAGAAATCGTACATTTTGATGTTTGAGAAACATCGAGAACTAGAAACGGCAGAAAGACACAAGGGCTTGGGTATTATCTATATTAAGCATAGTTTTTTCTTCCAACAATGCCGCTGGTCACGCTTTTATAATTTAAACTCATCCCACGTCATGTTGTTCAAATCAACCACCGATATCCAGCTACTTGATCATCTCCAAAGGCAATTATTTTGACCAGTTTTTTAAAACTAATTTAGTATGAACTGGCAACAAAAGACAACTTCGGACATCTTTCATCATATTTTGATTTCCGAACATCAGGCTGTTCGAGATACTCTTCAAATATTAAACTGGACCGTTTTACATTTAATCAGGCAGAGGTGACACCATGACATTGAACGTGCAAAATAATTTATTCCGCAGTACTTGGTGCAATCGAACCCAAGTCAACTACAGGGCTTAATTAGAAAATTATCATATGCTCTTGCTGACAAATTGAGCACTTTTTTTGAGAACTTTGAATAAAACGAAAGTTGGCTCAACTTATTACACTACCCTCGATTGCGTGAATAATAAGGATTGTTTTTTTTTGTAGCCATGTCAATATAATGAGCTGAAGAATTTGTTAACTCTTTCTAATCTTAAACCGATCAATGACGACCAGTTGCATTGGAGTTTCCATAGTTATCTATGTCTTTTCTGATTGTCATGTTTAACAGTTCAACACTCGTTACTGCATTTATCGGCTTCGAAAAACTTATTTTGTCTGGATTAACACGTCTTTATTTGTTGCCCAATCAATCAACTTGGACTGTTTGACCTGACTGAATGTTTGCAAACTTTCAATATAAAAAATGGCAGTCAGAATGCTCTGTGGATGCAGTGTTCAACTGAACGCAATATTTTATTCTGCTCAGTGCAAAGTTTGATAAAAAACAATGAGCTGAGGTTATCTTCCCTAACGCGAGGTGCTGTCAGGCTAGATACAGTGTTGGCAAACTGGACATCAAACATAACTGCCCAAGTTTTTGTGGTTTCCGAAAAGTGGCGTTTTTATGAATTTTTGTTATGGGGTTGCAAATTTGGCCTCTAAATTTTACTGCTCGAATCCTTTTGTTTTCCGAAACAGCGTTTTTTATGATTTTTCAGTTTTTGATTAAATAATTTTAAATTTAAAGAAAACACTTACGAACTATGAACATCTGTTTCTAAAAGTGGGTTGCTGTCATAGTAGATACAGGAGATGCAAATCTTGACTCCAAATTTTTTTTGCTCGAATTTTTGTGGTTTCATCACTTGCCTCTTTTCCTGATTTTTTATTCAGCTTTGTACGAATAACGTTGATTTAAAGACAACATATTTTAAAAAAAACACGAAGTTTGAGGGTTGCAAATCTGGCCTAAATTTGTTTTTGCTTGAAAACTTTGCCTTTTGCAATATGGCGTTTTTTTCTTTTTTTTTTTGTAAAACTTTGATTCAAAAAATACCATCAAAACATGAATCTAGGTTCCTTATAAAGGGTTGCTTTCAGGGTAGATACTGGATAGCAAGTCTGGCCTTCCAAGTATTACTGCTCGAATACTTTTTCTTTTCGAGATAAGGCGTTACTTTTTGATCTTATCAATTTTTGGAAAATTTCCAACCCCACTTTATAGTGCTGTCAGGGTACTCCGAGGGATTGCGAAATTGGCTCTCTCTGTTGTTTTCTTTATTAGTTTCCGATAAATGACTATTTGAATTTTAATTTTTTGCCCTAATTCTCAGTAATTTAAAGATTTTCTTCAAAACAACCGCTGTATGCTTTATCTTTATGGTGAAACTCATCAATTGGCCTTACTGGTGAATCTATAAAACGTTGCAAAAACGAATTTGAAAAGTCCTATAGATGAAAAAGTCCTATAGTTGGAGTAAAACCTAACGCTCACCTTATTCAAATAGAAATCGTACATTTTGATGTTTGAGAAACATCGAGAACTAGAAACGGCAGAAAGACACAAGGGCTTGGGTATTATCTATATTAAGCATAGTTTTTTCTTCCAACAATGCCGCTGGTCACGCTTTTATAATTTAAACTCATCCCACGTCATGTTGTTCAAATCAACCACCGATATCCAGCTACTTGATCATCTCCAAAGGCAATTATTTTGACCAGTTTTTTAAAACTAATTTAGTATGAACTGGCAACAAAAGACAACTTCGGACATCTTTCATCATATTTTGATTTCCGAACATCAGGCTGTTCGAGATACTCTTCAAATATTAAACTGGACCGTTTTACATTTAATCAGGCAGAGGTGACACCATGACATTGAACGTGCAAAATAATTTATTCCGCAGTACTTGGTGCAATCGAACCCAAGTCAACTACAGGGCTTAATTAGAAAATTATCATATGCTCTTGCTGACAAATTGAGCACTTTTTTTGAGAACTTTGAATAAAACGAAAGTTGGCTCAACTTATTACACTACCCTCGATTGCGTGAATAATAAGGATTGTTTTTTTTTGTAGCCATGTCAATATAATGAGCTGAAGAATTTGTTAACTCTTTCTAATCTTCTAATCTAAACCGATCAATGACGACCAGTTGCATTGGAGTTTCCATAGTTATCTATGTCTTTTCTGATTGTCATGTTTAACAGTTCAACACTCGTTACTGCATTTATCGGCTTCGAAAAACTTATTTTGTCTGGATTAACACGTCTTTATTTGTTGCCCAATCAATCAACTTGGACTGTTTGACCTGACTGAATGTTTGCAAACTTTCAATATAAAAAATGGCAGTCAGAATGCTCTGTGGATGCAGTGTTCAACTGAACGCAATATTTTATTCTGCTCAGTGCAAAGTTTGATAAAAAACAATGAGCTGAGGTTATCTTCCCTAACGCGAGGTGCTGTCAGGCTAGATACAGTGTTGGCAAACTGGACATCAAACATAACTGCCCAAGTTTTTGTGGTTTCCGAAAAGTGGCGTTTTTATGAATTTTTGTTATGGGGTTGCAAATTTGGCCTCTAAATTTTACTGCTCGAATCCTTTTGTTTTCCGAAACAGCGTTTTTTATGATTTTTCAGTTTTTGATTAAATAATTTTAAATTTAAAGAAAACACTTACGAACTATGAACATCTGTTTCTAAAAGTGGGTTGCTGTCATAGTAGATACAGGAGATGCAAATCTTGACTCCAAATTTTTTTTGCTCGAATTTTTGTGGTTTCATCACTTGCCTCTTTTCCTGATTTTTTATTCAGCTTTGTACGAATAACGTTGGTTTGAAAAAAAAGCAAAATTTGAATGGCGGTTGTCGGGTACATTCAAAGGTTGCAAATCTGCTATCCTAATTTAACTACTGAAATCTTTGTGGTTTCCGAGATATGGCGTTTTCAATGATTTTTTATAAAGTTTTCAAATGAAACGGATTTAAAAAAAAGTAAAAAATAAAAACACGGAAATCGAAGGGTTGCAAGCCTGGCCTGAATTTTTTTCTGCTCGAAACTTTCTGATTTCCAAAATATGGCTTTTTTCTTTTTTTTTTCAAAAACCTTAGACTTGGAGGGTTGCTGTCAGGGTAGATACTGGGGTGGCAAATCTGGCCTTCCAAGTATTTCTGCTCGTTTTTTGGAAATTTTTCATCTCCGTTTTGTGCTGTCAGGGTAATCTGAGGGGTTGCAAACTTGGTTTTAATTTATCATTATTAGTTTTCGTTATAAGTTAATTTTAATTTTCTTTTTTTTTCAATAATTTAAAGAATTTCAAAAAAGTCTGATTGATATTGTAAGTTTTGGTTTTTCGAAAAGATGGCGTTTTTTGTTGTTTCATTTGTCTCAAAAACCTTAGACTTGGAGGGTTGCTGTCAGGGTAGATACTGGGCTGGCAAATCTGGCCTTCCAAGTATTTCTGCTCGTTTTTTGGAAATTTTTCATCTCCGTTTTGTGCTGTCAGGGTAATCTCAGGGGTTGCAAACTTGGTTTTAATTTATCATTATTAGTTTTCGTTATAAGTTAATTTTAATTTTCTTTTTTTTTTCAATAATTTAAAGAATTTCAAAAAAGTCTGATTGATATTGTAAGTTTTGGTTTTTCGAAAAGATGGCGTTTTTTGTTGTTTTTTCATTTTTTTCAAAAACCTTAGATTTGGAGGGTTGCTGTCAGGGTAGATAGTGGGTTGGCAAATCTGGCCTTCCAATTATTTCTGCTCGTTTTTCGGAAATTCTTATCTCCGTTTTGTGCTGTCAGGGTAATCTCAGGGGTTGCAAACATGGTTTTAATGTATCATTTTTAGTTTTCGTTGTAAGTTACTTTCAATTTTCTTTTCAATAATTTAAAGAATTTCAAAATAGTCTGATTGATATTGTAAGTTTTGTTTTTTCGAAAAGATGAAAAAAGCCGCTGTATGCTGTCGAAATTTGAAGGTCCTTTCCTGCGTTAAAATCTAATTTATCTGAAGAAACTCAGTGGTTGACCTTTTTGCAGAAAAATAATCTATAAGTTGATGTTTAATAAGAAATGGAATGATTCTTCAAGTTTATGTGAGTGTAATCTGTTGGCAGTCAGTCGTAAATGGCGGCCTAGTTTTTTTGTGCTTTTAAACGACTTAAACCTGGCTCTATTGCATTATTTTAGATGAACTTAGAAGAAAACAAGAGTAACCGCAGGAGAATAGTGTTTGTTTTAGATCATCTTTCGAAAAGATGTGTGGAGTTTGGGGCTGAGGGGTTGTTGGACTTAAGAAGCCGTCAGCCGTCAGCCATCTCGTCTCGCGGGCAGGGAAAAGAAGAGTTGAAAAAAGGTCAAGGTTCCCCTCGTGATTCTAGTTATACGCAACCGAAACAAGAGAAGAAGAAAACCGGATCTGCAAATATCAATGCGAGGAGATGCAAAAATAAAATTTATATTGCGTTCAGGAAGTTGAATGAAAAAAAGTTCGACGTTGAAAACTTGGACTCGTTTGCTTTTCAAAAACTTGGTTTGAACTAATCTTTATTTTTTTGGCGGTTGAAAGAATGAATTTTTTTTGATGATCTATCCAGCTCAAAAGTAGACGCTATGAGCGGTTACATAGTTACTTAATGTCAAATTCATTTGATTTTTCAGGTTTTATTCGCAATCGAAACTTCGATTTTTGTCTAAACTGCATGATTTGGAAAGTTAAATTGCGTCATGTTTTAGGGGGCAAAAGTTATTGAGAAAACATTCAATCCAACAATGAAGGTGCAAGAGTCTAGCAATAACCATTCACGAAAATAAACGGCAAACTAGCAAACGGCAAACTAGCAATAAACGTAGTTCAGACTCTTATTTGGTCGTGATATATTTTTTTATTTTTTCAGGAAAAGTCTTGAAATTGTTTCGGCTCAAATTTACTCTGTTTGAATTTGATTTCTTTTTAAGTTCAGTTCATTTCTTTTGTTTACACAAGCAAAGCTGGTGTTATAGTATAAACTCGTTTTTTCCAACCGAAGTTAAAATTGTCGCGTTGAAAATATTGTTGCGACCAAATGTGCTCATTTTGATCAATAACCAGCTATTAAGTGCAGCCAATGCGAAGGATATTAACACAGACTATTATATTACAAATAGCCTTTTAGCTTCAAGGTATTATGGATCTATAGCGTAGAGATAGTGAAAGAGAACCGCAACAAAGGGGTTTCGAACCTGGGCAGGGTCGGATGTTTTTAATGAACTTAAGGCATGTTAGTTAGTAAATTTTTTTTTCAAATTGACTGGTACTGCTTATGCGTCATAATTGGCTTGCGTCACTTAGTAATTATGTAGACTAATAATTGGCTTGCGTCACTTAAGAAAATTCGTTGACTTGAAGTTTTACTTAATTCATTCAGTTTTTCCCAGTAGCGTTATCGGTCATATTTTTGCTTGTGTATGCGAAGTGCAACTTCGCCTCTGTGAAATGTAGGGCAGCAGCGATAGTGTTAAGGTCACGAAAAACGTGATCAACTTCTAGCTTCAGGTTTCTTATCAGGTTTCGCAGCGAAATAAAAACTTAACATATTGATCCAGTTTTCTCAAATTGGTTCAATTTTTATTAAAAAAGTGTTAACACTCGATATTGCAATTTCTATGCTTCGAAAACCTTGCATTGTGTAAATGAACGCGTATTCTTTTATGGCCAAATCAATCATCTGGGGGCTGTTTGACTCAACTGATTGTCTGCATATCTTATATTGAACGGAAATGAGAATGCGCTGTGGATGCAGTTTTCAACTGTACGAAATGTAATTTGGTCGAGCGAACAAGGTTCTTTAACTTTAAGGTTTAACAGAAGTATGTTCGGTATGTTCAAGTATGTTCGGAATCTTACAATTATCTAAAATCTGGAATGATCAAGGATTTTTTTGAAAAGTCAACTCCTAAGACAAGATGGCCTGGATTCTTCAACTTCGAGGCAAGACAGTGCCTGTTTAGTTTTTCACTAAAACAATGGAATTTTCCATATTTAATCCGTTGAGAACACAGCAAACAAAAAAGTGTTTTTTTTTTCGAGCGTATTCCGCAAGAAGGGCTGGTTGGCTTCACGAAAGTTCACAGAAGCACTTGTTTTATAGAGCAAAGAAATTGCAGAGAACAGGATAGTTTCAAGCACTTTAATGATTCTTGTATTCGGGCTAAGGAAAATTTTTTGCGAACTTGTTTGCAAAAGACCCAGGTCAAATAAGTTAGCTCGCTCTGGAAAAGACCAGTAATTTATTAAGTGTTCATCTGATTAAGAGATCATCTGTTTTTATCATCAAAATTTCCTCTCGATTACTACCAGGTCATGATTATTTCACTGGAAAGGGCACCCGAGTTTTACTGGCAATCTGAAGGGGCGAAAAATACATTTTTTATTCCAACCAAAGTTTGTTGAAAGTTCGATCATCATTCTAGATGTAAGGAGCTTACGAATCTAGCAAAGCGAAATCGGCGATTTGCATCAAGCAAAAAGACGCTGAGAATTGAGGACTTGTCACTCGAATTCTGTCAAGAAGCATCAAACAGGTAAATAATTCAAACAGACAAAGTTTCAAGTTTTCTGAAAGGTCGCATATTGGAACGCTCGTTGACTGACACCTATGAATTTAATGAGAAATCTTTCACTGCGGATCTGCAAAACATAATCCACGCTGGTACTAGTCGAAGTCTCATGGCTTTTAGCCATTGCATCTGAGTGTGCTTTTTTGCCACAGTTTGGTACTGGGCCAATTTAAAAAAGTAAGAACTTAAATAAATGTAACAGTCGCCTACTTAAGTCACATATGAAGTTAAAGAAAAATAGGCCCTATAACCATTGGCTCAAGAGTCAGGGACACTATCTCTTGTGTTTTTCTACCTCGAACGGTCGGAGCCAATTCGGTTCACTTGCGACATGAGACTAAAACCCTCGTTACAGCTTAAAGGCCACTACCAAAATACCCCCACTCTAGAAATTAAGAAAATCCCCATACTTAGGTCTCAAAATACGCGAACGCCGTTAAAAACAGGGTCGGAACAGTACGTATAGTTACTTTTTACTAGACAGTGGAACTTTGATCCATTTCAGATGGATCAACCTAAACCTAAAACTCTCCTTACCTCAACATAACAATTACAAAACACACTCAAGAAAACTAAATTGGGTACTCACATACCAGCACACTTGAGAATTGGAGTAACTAAATTAATCAGCAACTCTAGCCTTAAAGGAAACAAAGTTTGTAATTAATGAACTCCAGCAAAGGAAATGAGTTTTGACTTGAGAAATAAGTTTTGGGGCTGGACCATTGGGAGACTCCGGTTGTCCACCTTTCCACCAAAGGTTCACTCTGGTCCACTTCAAATTAATATCTTCTCTTCTCGTAATCGTTCTACCTCCTATTTCAGGATAAAACAGCTCTACTCTAGTGTGATTTTTATGTCTGGAAACTGCGAATAGCAATTTCCCGCTGCTTTTTTGATCACTTTCCCGCGATTGTAGTTCGATTGTTCTGATCTTGTATTTCTGAGATTTTCAGTTGCGCGAGAAAGTTGAGCATGACAGGCTCAATTCGAATTTTTGAAAAATTCCATTTCACCCCAAAATTACGTTGTTCGTATTGCTCAAGGTCAAACTTCCAAATATGACCGACTGGCACAAAAAAGTGTACGATATCAAGCAATTCGATCACCGCTCTTAACAATAAATATATAATTTTGTGCCATAATCACGACCAGTAACCTTGGAAATTTCTTAGCATCTATTGTCTTCTCTTACTTTATAGAAAATCATATGGGCGCCATGCTCAACAAGTCTTTTCATTTAGCTATAGACGCCGTGTTTAAGAGTTTATTACTCGTTATTGCAATGTATCGGCTTTAAAACAATGTCTGAATGAATCGTACTTTTTTCCAGCTAACTAACTCATATTGGACTATTTACATTAATTGAACATGTGCATATCTTCTTAAATTTTAATGAAAGTCACAATGCGCTGCGGACGCAAATTTTAACTGAACGCAGTTATTCAGTTTGGTCGACCACAATTGTAAAAAGAGTTTTTTAGGCGCAAGGCTTAAAAGAAGGCCAAGAATATTCTAAAACTTCTTGAATGTTCTAAAAAATTTTTTTGAAAAAGTCAACTATTTTGACAAGATGAACTCGATATATTTGAAAGGCTAGACAGCGCATGTCCACTTATTGTCAAAATTTTTGCGTACGGAGATTCATATCAGTCTGAAACAATTATGAAAACTTCAATGTTTATTCAGTTGAGAACAGCGCATGCAGAAAACAATTGAAAGTTTTTTTTTCGAGCCGGTTCCGCAAGAAAGGCTAGATATGAAAAAATTACAGAAGCACTTATTTTACAGAGCAAGTAGGTTGCAGACAAAAGGATAGTCTCAAGAAAATTGATAATTTTGTTATTCAAGCAAAACAAGTTCATAGCTAACGTTTAAGTTTCCAAAACGAAAACACCAGCAATTGAAAAATACTGCTCCGTTCTGTGTTTTTTTTCTCTTCAGTGTTCAAGTTATTTGATTGTACCCAGGTCCATGATTGTTTCACTGGGAAGAATCAGCTCGAATTTTTTTGGCGTTTGCAATGATCTAAAGTAAAATGTTTGCGATCTGAATCAGTGAAAGAAATTACTAAGTATTCGAATCGAGTGTGATCAGATTGACAGCTCGAGCAGCATAATAGATTTAAAAAGCATACGTCCCTTTAGATCGTATGCTTTTTGAAACAAAGCATGCTTTTTGTCAAAGCATACGTATACATTGACAATTTTGAAACAAAAAAAAACAAGCTTAAGAGTTTCTTTTCGAGTTTTGTCAAAAATTAACAATTCGAGATTTCAAAAGAAATCAAGTACGCAAATTTTCATAGTTTTCTGAAAGGTCGCGCAGACCTAATTTTTTAAATCTGGTGACAACTCTCATGAAGTATGTGTGTAATTTTTAAGCCGTCTTAGAAATCGTTACAAATCTTGATCTTTATTTGGTTTAGTGGGGAAAAGAAGCAGCGCAACTCGAAAAGGCAAAAACTGGTTGTTTTGAAGTTAAAGCTATTAAGTGTTTGTTTGTTGTTCAAATCAATAACTAGATCATTTTGTTTCAAAGTCCAGATTTTCTAAATTTCTCAGCTGAAAAGTTTTCATCTCAAAACACAAAAAAATTGTGAGAATAAGTGATAGCCATTCACTCAGGTAAACGTTGACTCTCCCTCACGATTTTCCAAGTTAAAGCTATTAAGTGTTTGTTTGCTGTTCAAATCAAAAACTAGATCATTTTGTTTGACCAAAATTTCCGTGGGTTACACACGTAGCTCGGTAGATGTAAAACTTTTAGCTTACGGCGTTAACGAAAAAATACCCTTCCACTGTATTGTAGTTGATGATTCTATACCAAAAAAATTCTGTCTCACGAAACTCTACAGGAAAGGATTTGAAAGAAGATTGGCTGCTTGTAAATGATTTTTTGTTAGATTGTTCGTGAAATTGATCATTTCTGAGTAAGGTTGAGTTAACATATTAATCAACGTATCCCACTGTCATAACTAGATAAAACCATTCGGATTTTTTTTGAAGGCCCACTGGACTCAGTTTGAAGCCAGTTGTTTTACATATATTTTTCCTCTTGTGAAAAACTCATTTCTAACCAATGACAACCCATAACTAAATTCTACTCTTTATTTGTAAACCTCAAACCGTTACTTTTTCTCTCCTCTAACTTCGTGATAAAAACGAGTATATCACTAGATGGATTGAGACTATGAAATATAAGATATAAAGGTAGGAATAGGATTGTTAT